GGCAGGGTCGCAGTGGGGACCTGGGGGCTGTTCCGCCGCATTTTATCATGCTCCTTGGCATCATGGGATGGGACAAGTTTTTCAGAAAATATTTACTGTATGCTCAAGATCAGCTAGGGGTTCTGGGGACACAGCAGCCAGTGAAATGAAGAAAAGAACCAGTGTCGGAGACATGAAACAAGTGAACACACACATGCACACATGCTCGCACTCTCGCACGCACACATGCACGCACGCACCCTCCTACCCACCCACCCCAAGTGACATTGCCGTATGTGCTGTGTGCCTGTGAGAGACCACTGATCTCATTCAAACCATGCAAGCGGAGGGATTCCCTAAACATGACCCCCATTCTGCACAAAATCATCCAAACAGCACAGAAAGTTCAAAGAACTGTGTGAAAAGCTGGTTTTTCTTTGTCCCATCAGTGGCCTTTACTGCTGTGAGGGCTACTGTCTGGTGGTCTTCAGAAGGTGGGCATGAAGGTAGGTGGCTGGACCAATATTAGCCTCGCCTGATGACCTGGATAGTGCTGTGCTGGGGGCGTTTATCCAGAGCCAGACACTTGCCGGTCTAGTTTTTCATTTTAGTTGTCTGTCTGCTTTAGACTTAAAAAAAAAAAAAAAGAATCATTGTATACATGGTTATCGCTTAGTGGTGGAGCAGTTGCCCACTTATGTGGGTCCTGGTTCTGTCCCCAGCTCTGCAAAAAACAGACAAATTAATTAATTAATTTAAAAAAAAAAGAAAAAGAAAGGAAAAATTCATCTCCTGACCAGTTTCATCTCCACACATTTCATTATTGAATACTCCCTTGAGTGTTCAAGGCTACCTGTTCCCCTTGAGGTGTCTACCAAGTTCTCCCTTTCCATGCATTCAGTGAAGTCTATCCCTGAGGATAGCATCTCAGTTCTATAGCAGTAGAATTTAGTGGAAGGAAGTCGAGGTGAGAGTAGACTTTATACACTTGGGTAGCACATGAGCTGTGTGATGGATGGGAAGGCTGTCTAGAGAGCACTGCTGAGGGTGCTTGTGTGAGGGCTGCTCAGATAGGCTGGGAGCACTGCTGAGGGTGCTCACATGAGGGCTGCTCAGATAGGCTGGGAGCGCTGCCGAGGGTGCTCGCGTGAGGGCTGGTAAGATAGGCTTGGTGACGTGTGCCTGTAATCCTACCACTCAGGAGACTGAGGTAGAAGGATTGCTGGAAATTTGAGGATAGCCTGGGCTGCATAGTGAGTTAAGAGGCCAGCCTGGGTATACAGAGTGAGGCCAACTTGAAAGTCAAGAAAGGGAAGTGAGGTGTCTCTGTGGGTGAAGGTGTGTGGCTGTCCAGTCTGGTAACCCAAGTTTGATTTCCTGGGCCCACAAGTTGTCCTCTGACCTCCATGTGAGCCCCACAGCCACCCCCAACAACAGAAATAAATGTAACTAAGTATATTTTGGAAAAGAAAGGCATTCTGGGGAAGGAAGGACTAACTGAGTGATGGTTGGGGAGCCCACACCAGTCTCTCTCAGCTTTCAGAATAGAAACTACCACCTAACTGCTAACACTGCAAGGCTTCAATGTCCATGGCCGGACTCAGTTGATAAAACTGAGGCTCACAGGTGTGAAGGCTCTGTCCAGGGGTTGGCTGGGGCCTGGGCTTATCAGATTCACATTCCCTGTGGGCCTGCAGCTCTGTAGCCATGGTAACTCATCAGGAAAACAGTTGGGAAGGTGGGAGGTGGGACAGCCGTGGCTGATGTCTATGGTGCTTGCTTCGTGCCAGGGGATGAGTTGCCCTGTGACATGCGCATCCCATCCGACAAGCAGGACAAACTTCACGGCTGCCTGGAGCATCTCTTTAACCAGGTAGGACCATTGCCCCACCTGTGCTTTGGACTGCTCATCTCCCTGGGACTAGGGGGGCGTGCCGTGGGTGGCAGGTCTTTACTGCACTCATGGGAGCTTCTTGTCCCTAGGTGGATTCCATCCATGCTCTGCTCAAGGGTCCTGTGATGAACAGGGCATTTGAAGAGACCAAGCATTTCCCCATGGAGCACAGCTGGCAAGGTGAGGGGACGTCCAAGGACACGGCCACATGCTGGGTTCTGTCCCGCATCTGCGTCATAGCTCTGGAAGGGCCTTGGTTCTGTCAGTTCCATCCTGTGGTACAGAACCAGATCACTGCTGTATTTGTTCAAACTGAACTGAGATTTTTTTTATCTTTTTTCCTGGGCTGAGGACGGGGACAGCCTGGAGCGTGAGCTCAGTCCCTGTGCCATCCTCACGCTTACAGAGTCTGCGTACCAAGTGGCAGTCATGTTCATCTGTGGTCTGTTTTATCGCTGATGTAACTTTTTAACACTAAACAAAACTCTTCCTATTTAGAAATTTAGTTTCACAAGTACCGTATTAAGCTCCATATAGTTGAAAAACCAATATAACGTGCCACTAATTAGCGATAAACCAAAGCCACAAATCTAGTGGAAACAATAACAAAAATGTCCTCTCTACACGCTGGTCCTGTGCCTGCTCAGAGCTTACTGAGAGGGATTCCTGAGGAAAAGAAGTCCCAAGGGCCTCCTTGGCATCAAAGGATGGGAAGGGGGAGAGATGAGCATCCCAGGTCCATCCACACACATATTCAAGCCATGCAGCCATTTCTCTCCCTACCTGTTTACCCTGCATCCGTATACCCACCTCCATCAATCTATACACATCTCCCTACTCACCATCCATCCCCTCCATCCACCCACCACCATCTACCTTCTATCCATCAGCCTGTACACATTAGCGTACCATCCATCCATCCATCCGTCCGTCCATCTGTCCGTACATCTGTCCATCCCTACCCTCCATCCACCTACCCATACATTCACCCACGTCCACCCATCCATTTGTCTGTACACATTCACATCCGTCCATCATCATCTACCCTCCATCCATCTGCCTACCCACATATCCACCCACCCATCCATCCATCCATCCCTACCCTCCATCCATCTGCCTACCCACACATCTACCCACCCACCCACCTTCCATCCATCTATACACATTTACCTACCTTTGGTCCATCATCTCTCCATCATCATCCACCCTTCATCCGTGCATGCATCTCCACCCTCACCCACCTACGTCCATCCTCCTGCCTACTCGTTCTCAACCACCCACATCCACCTACCCATCTGCAGTCCATCCACCCATCCGCCCACATTAACCATCTACCCGTGAACCCACATCTACTTCTCCACTTGCCGATTCCTTCGTCTAGGCACTGGTAACTGATTCCAGCTTGTTCCAGGCCTTCTCTGGACACTGTGCCTCTGATGACTCAGTGCCTTCCTGACCGCTGGGGTTACTTGTTGTGTATGGGAAACTGGATGCGGATAGGTGGCCATCATAGGGTAGAAGTGACAAAGAATAGGGGAACCTCAGACTTGTCCCTTCTGCTCCCTCCCAGGAGCACTTTCCTAGTGATGGGCCTCTGAAGTCAGAGGTGGGGGAAACAACCACAGGGGTCTCAGAAACCTGACCAGGGTCGGGTGCCTGCCTGACCTTTGCCTGGGCCTGCTGAGGGCAGATTCAAGGTCCAGTAGCTTCACAGCCTGCTGCCTGACCTTAGATAATGTTCATCTTTTCCACTCCAAGCCTGGGTTGCTCCTTCTGTGTAGGGAAAGGCTATTTATTGGCTACCACTCATCTGCCAGCCCAGTTGATTGTGGCTATGAGGGGGTAATACCTGAGAAGCCTGCCAGTTCTAGGAGAACCAGCAATGATTGATTTGTAATGTCTGTGCTGGGTTGGTTACAGCGGTGGGGGGACTAGAAGGAGGGGGTGCTGAGACTGATTAACAGCGTCTGTTGTGGATGTGGTTTGTGACGCTTACCATAATTTTGCCCTCCACAACCCATGAGTCCTGTTAGTTTCCTTGATCTAGGCTAGTGAGTCTTGCAACCTGGTGACGGGACACAGACCTTTTTGACTCCATTCCTCTTCTGATCTCACACCTTCATGCCACTGTGTTGTCTCAGAGTTCAAGCAAAAAGAAGAGTGCACGGTCCGTGGACGAAACTTGATCCAGATCAGCATCCAGGAGGACCCTTGGAACCTGCCCAGCTCCATCAGGACCCTGGTGGACAACATCCAGCGATATGTGGAAGGTCAGTGGGTAGGGGGATGTCACGCACGTTAGTGGTCTTTTGGTGCTGATGTAGACTGTGATGTCGTCTGGAAGTGGGCTTATCCGTGTGGCTCTGTCTTCATGTCTAGTGAGTGTTCTGACTCAGTAAGGCTCCAGGCTGCCTGTGTGGCTGGAGGAGCCCTAGAAATGGGGCCGTTCCTACCAAGGCTTCTTGCGGTCAGGGGGACTCATTCCTTCTCAGCTTCCAAAACTGGATTCCATTTGGGTCCTTATTTGTCAGTGAGGTCACAGACTGGAGCTCACTGGTCTGAGCTGTCAGTGATACAGGGAACTGCCGTTTCCTGACGCCTTAGCGGCCAGCTGCCCTTGGCCACACTTGAGTGAGGACATAATTACTCGTATTGATGCCTCATACCTCGTCTACCCATTTGAGCCTTTGGGCACCTGAGTCAGGGACTCCCAGAAGGACACAGGCCAGGGCCAATTGGAACAAGAAATGAATTGCAAAGGCATGGCTGTCTCAAGCCAAGCCATTCTCGTTTCTAAACAGAGGTAGGTTACTAGCATGAATGAATCTGGGATCTGCCTGTCAGCAAGGAATCCTTTGTTAGCCCACTTTTGGTCATGTGACCTCTACACCTTCCTTGACTTCTCTGAGCCTTCATTTCTCAGTGAATTCTACAGGCTCACAACACTCCCTCTGTCACATGTTGCCATGAGGTCAAATGAGTCCATTGTATCAGGGACATGGGACACCACCTGATATAGCCATGTCCTCATTGAGTGGCTTATTCCCACTCATCTTGTCCCCATACCCTGCTAGAGCACCTTCCCTGCATCTCACTGGGGAAGAGTATTTCGGTAGCTAGGTCTGAAGGTCATTCAGATTTTCTTGGGGGATTTTTAGACCCAAGAGAGTCTCTGATGGGTTGTGACCAGATGCTCGACATCAACCAGGCAGAAGTGAGCCTTCTCCACACAGGGCAGAGCTGTGCCTGGGTTTTGCACAAGTACATGTGACTGTGCCCTTGACTGTCTATCAGGGAGACCACATGTGTGCCTGCACCTCTGCAGCATGTGGGCACATTGTAGGGCAGAATCCCTGACTCAAGAGACAACACTGTTGGCTTTAGCCTCTGTGATGGGGATGCACAGACAGATAAAGCTGGCAGTAGAGGCTCCATCTCTGATATCCAGGGGCTCTGGAATTTACCCAGCATGCATTGTTACTCCTGAGCATAGCTTAAGCACCAGGGCATCTGTGAGGGGTACTGGCATGCCACTGTGGCCTCTGCTAGTCCTGCTCAGCCTTCTCCTCTCTCCTTTCTCTTTCCAGATGGAAAGAACCAGCTGCTCCTGGCTCTGCTGAAGTGCACAGGTGAGAACAGGTTCTGAAGGGGACCCTGGGAGTCGCAGTGGGTGCTAAGGACACAGGCTGGGGAAACATCCGTCTGCTGGCCAGCGGTGTCTCACTGGAGCCCCTCAGCACCTGCGCTGGGTGGCAGCCTTTGCTGCCAGCCTTACCAAGAACGACTTGAACCTCACCTCTTTCTCTGGGGCTAAGCAGGAGGCGAGCCTCAGGCTCTGGGACTGTTCAGTGCTACATACTAGGCCTGGTGGGTGTTGACAGGGATACTGAGCAAAAGATGGAGGGTGAGAAAGGTAGGCCGAACCTAGCCTTGGAAGAGTGGAGGATGGGGCTGCCAGAGGCCAGGGCGTGCTTGCGTGCATGCAAGTGTGCGTGCATGCGTGTGTGTGTGTGTGTGTGTGTGTGTGTGTGTGTGTGTGTCTCCCCATGTTCCATATGTGCCTTTTCTCACCCAAGTGACCATCTGCTTGGCATTGCCCAGGTCCTTTATCCATCGTACTAGTTGAGGGCAGGGCATGAGAAGGTGAGGCATGGGGAGAGCATTGTTAGGACTGGTCTTGAATGTGCAACTTAGCACTGCTAGTATTCATGTGGCCGAGGCTGTGAGGGCCCGTGGCTCGTGGCAGGACAGGTGGGGCAGGGTTTGGACACGGCCTCGGGAAGGACCACACACTTGTTTCTAAAGAGATCAGATAATTGGGCAGTGGGGTAGTGAGCTTTTGAAGAATCTGTCTTTGTGGAACTGACTTTTGGTGTCTGAATTGTGCGTTCAAAGTTGTCCACTGGCCCCCTGTGGGTGTGGCTGGTCCCGGGTGTAGGTGTTGAGGTTGGAGGTGCTGGTGGCCCAGAGCAGCTCACCCAGAGGCTCCTGCACCTCCCACAGACACGGAGCTGCAGCTACGCCGGGACGCTGTCTTCTGTCAGGCCCTGGTGGCCGCGGTGTGCACCTTCTCAGAGCAACTGCTGGCCGCCCTTGACTACCGCTACAACAATAACGGCGAGTATGAGGAGAGTAGCCGTGATGCCAGCCGCAAGTGGCTGGAGCAGGTGGCGGCCACGGGCGTCCTGCTGCATTGGCAGTCTCTTCTGACACCAGCCACCGTGGTAAGTGGCCGGGGTGGGTGACACACGATGGCGGGCCTCTCAGCTCCTGTTTACCCAGGGGTTCTTGTCGCAGTGATTTGCTGCGCTTTTACTGTTAGAGTCGGGAGTTGTGGATGAACTGAACTGTAGTTCCTGGGCTCTGTGGCAGTGGTTCTCAACCTGTGGGTTGCGACTGCTCCTCCAATAAACTTCTGTCTCCAAAAATATTTACATTATGATTCATAGCAGTAGCAAAACTACAGTTGTGAAGTAGCAATGAAAATAAGTTTTTGGTTGGGATCACCACAAAATGGCGTATTAAAGGGTCACAGCAGCATTAGCTCTGTGGTGTCCTGGGAAAAGAAATACATAAAGCTGTGGTTCTGAGCCACAAGCAGGCGCCTTGTGACAATTGAGGAGTCGGGTGTGGGCGGGGGGGGAGGATATTACTTGCATCTAGTACACGTGTAGCAGGCAGAGGTGTTGGCTCAGCATCCCACAGCAGCTTCAGTAAAAGTGGCTCCAGAGGACCCCCACCCCTTCCCACCTCCGTGCCCCGCATGTGCAGTGCAGCCTCAGTTCACCCCCTGCTGGCCACTGATGTGCACTGCTTCTGGTCTCCAGGAAAGTACCCCTCCTAACACACACATACATACATACACACACACACACACACACACACACACACACACACACATACACACACACACACACATGCCAGCCCTCACTGAACTCTTCTCAGGATGGAACATTAGACCCAGCTCATTCGCTGACGTCACTAGCACTGAGCTGGCCCTGCATCTGCAGCTCACTTCCTAGCAGGAGAGGGGACTGAGAGGAGGGAGGGGGCATCAAGCAGGGAGTGGGGTGAGGAGGCAGCTTTTGAGCTGAGGCCTCTGCCAGCCACAATGATGGTCAGAGGAAGAGAACCCAGAAGGAAGGGCATGTGCACAGCCTGAGCAGAGGCACGTGTGGCCTGAGGGGAGCAGGCAGGAGTCGGGAAAGCAAGCTTGGTTGGGTGGTCTGCAGGTAAAAGGCGACTCAGAAGCTGCAGCCTGGAGACTCATGTAGCCGGGGCTAAGTTTTAAAAGGAAGCATGTGACCCTGGGGAGGGCCGATAAATGAGTTCTGCCCCAGATGGGGCACTGGCCAGGCAGTGGGATGGACGTCACTCATGCAGGGCCACACTCAGGACACCCACAGCCTGGCCAGCCTTGTGGCATCTCTAGGGAGGCCCAGGCCAGGCTGGCATCTGAGTCCTCATCGTACCTTCTCCCTGCAGAAGGAGGAACGAACCATGCTTGAGGACATCTGGGTGACCCTGTCGGAGCTGGACAATGTCACCTTCTCCTTTAAGCAGCTGGATGAGACTTCTGTCGCCAGTGAGTCGATGCCCTCCCTTCCTGCCCTGAGAGTCAGGCTGCTCGGAGCCACCCTGACTTTCCCCTGCTGCCAGGCTAACAGCCTAAGCCGACCAGTTTCCAGTGCTTCAAACTTCACATCCCAGGATGAGTCTCAGAATTGGCCTTGGGGAGCACATGGGAAAGGAGTGCCTGGAGACTGGGTTGGGCTCGGGGGAGAAACGGTGATTGATTAGTGATACCTGCATGGTGCAGGTACAGGTTCTGAGTCACGTTTTATCTTCCTTATGGGTGCAGATAAGATATAGGGCCTGTTTATGAACAGTTTTGTTGTTGTTTTGTTTTGTTTTTTTGTTTTTTGTTTTGGCCAGGGAGAGCTGCCCCTCAGTGTTCCGGGTCAAGAGGAAAGCAGTGGGGGACCATGGGCCGTGGGAACAGGGCATGGCCATCACAGGCTGGTCTGGAGGACATGTGGGCTGTTCAAAGTTTAGTTTGATGGGCAGTGGGGCTGCCCTTCTGGGATGCTGGAGCGAGGAGGCCTCAGAGGCCTCAGATAGTCAGAAACATAGAGGTCCCAGCATGCTACCCTGAGGCTGGGAAGATAAGAGGGTCTGAGGCTACCCCTGTGAGTCAAGAGGGTTGGAAGTATAAGGTTAGCCCTCTTGAGTGCCACCTTAGCCTCTAAGGAAGGAGGCTCTGTGCTGCACTGGTGCAGATATGCCTGGGCTCCCCTCTGGCCTCTTAGTGAGCCCCCTGCTTTGCCTCCCCCTCCACAGACACCAACGTCTTCTACCACATTGAGGGCAGCAGGCAGGCACTGAAGGTCGTCTTCTACCTGGACGGCTTCCACTTCTCCAGGCTGCCCTCCCGCCTGGAGGGTGGGGCTAGCCTCAGGCTGCACACTGTACTCTTCACAAAAGGTGAGCAGCCCGGCTGGGGGCCCTGGTGAGGAAGGCGGACCAGACCACTGAGCACCCTAATGCCCAGCGCCTCCCCTCGCTTGCCTTCCCTCATAGCTCTGGAGAATATGGAGGGCCCACTGCCCCCAGGCAGTCAGGCTGTGGAAGACCTGCAGCAGGAGATCAATGCCCAGTCGCTGGAGAAGGTGCAGCAGTATTACAGAAAGCTCAGGTAGCTGCTGCGGGTTGGCAGGGGTGGGGTAGGGGTGGGGAGGGAGCCTGCGGGGTGAGGACACATCCTGCAAAGCCGTGAACCCTCTGGAGCTAATACAACACTGGGCACAGAGGCCACTGCAAACCCATTGTACAGCTGGCTATACTGAGGCCCATGTGGCCTGCCCTAGGTCACACAGCCAGATGAGCACAATCTCTTCGGCTTATTCCTCCCTGTGCAGGGAGGTTGCTGCTGGGATCTTTGGGCTCCTAGCACTGGGTCCTGTTCTGAGGAGAACTTCCAGAGAGAGGTGGAGAGAGCAGGAGACAGAACTTTGTCCAGGGGAAGTACAGCTTGGGCTGGGAAAACAGCTAAGTTCTGATGGTCTAACTACAGCCATCTGCAGCCACACCCACAACCACACCCCTCTAGTACACCCACAGTCTCACCTTCACCAGACCCAGACCGGGCTCCCAACTATGGCTCTTCTTGAGTCCTGTCTCATCGCAAAGAATTGGGGTCGGGTGGAGGCTGGGTTTCCCTGGAGAGGGGCACTCTCTTCCCAGGGCCCCTCTGACCATTTGGAAATTGGAAAATGAAGCTTCTATACATTTGCTAGGCAATAAGACCCAGGGCACAATTTACAATTTAATTGTTGCTGTCATCTGTCGGTCCTGTGTCCATCTGATTAGCCCCCTGTTTTTTTTCCTTTGCTCAGAGTGTTCATGGAGACTTTCTGTAGGCCCTATGCTGACCTGGCACTCAGAAAGCTGTCCTGTTTTTCATGAACATTTGTTCTGTCAAGGCTGGGCTGCTAAATCCAGCCCATCCCTTGTTTATAAATAAAGTTTTATTCATATACTACCAAGACAGTTTCTTCCTGCACCCTTTGTGACTTTTTTTTTGCTGGGTTTGGCAGAAGACAAAGACTCTGGTTAAAAGGGCCAGTGCTTTCTGGTTGATCCATCTGGAAGGATTTAGAGGAAGAGAATAAAGACAGGCTTGTAAACCCGGAACAGTTTTGTGCCAATTGCAAGGGATTTTCAGAAGAGAGAAGCAGGGATAGGATGGGGGAGATGTCTAGAACCATCAGGCAGAGGAAGCCAGAGACCCTTTCTTGCTTCCCTAGGGCTACTGAAGGACCAGGTGACAGTTGGCACATGCAGCCCTGGAGAGCCACTCAGTTACTTCCTCCTGAGAGTCCAGGGAGAATGCAGGACTGTAGCTGTAGGGCAGAGGCCCAGGGCAGGGGTGTGGCCAGAGCGCATGTGTGCGTGCATGCGTGCGTGTGTGTGCTCGCGGTGTGTTGGCAGGATCCTTAGCCCGGTCTGTTTCATTCAGGGCATTCTACCTGGAACGGTCCAACCTTCCTACGGATGCTGGCACCACGGCTGTGAAGATCGACCAGGTGTGCTGCTGTCTCTGGAAGCTTGGGCAGGGTGGGGACACTTGGGCTGTGGCCACTCCAGGCTGAGTAGTAGGTTTACAGCCCTAACCAGAATCAGACCTAGAAGCCCCCAAAGCTCCCACAGCCTCTGCCAGCTTGCTTTCTTTTCCCAGGACAAAAGTTCTCAACCTGTGGGTTGTGACCCCTTTGGGGTCAAATGACCCTTTCTCAGGGGTCACTTAAGACCATCAGAAAGTAGGTATTTACATTATAGTTCATAACAGTAGCAAAATTATAGTTGTGAGGTAGGAATAAAAATAATTTTATGGTTGGGGGTCACTGCAACATGAGGAACTTCTTCTTCTTCTTCTTCTTCCTTCTTCCTTCTTCCTTCTTTCTTCTTTCTTCTTCTTTTTGGTTTTTTGAGACAGGGTTTCTCTGTGTAACAGTCCTGGCTGTCCTGGAGCTTACTTTGTAGACCAGGCTGGTCTTGAACTCACTGAGATCGCTTGCCTCTGCCTTCCAAGTGCTGGGATTAAAGTCATGCGCCACCACCATTTGGGTACCACTGCCTGGCAAAATCTTAGGTTTTTTTTTTTTTTTTTTTCCCCGAGACAGGGTTTTTCTGTGTATCCTTGGCTGTCCTAGAACTCACTCTGTAGACCAGGCAGGCCTCGAAATCACTGAGCTCCACCTGCCTCTGCCTCCCAAGTGCTGGGATTAAAGGTGTACGACACCACTGCCTGGCTTCTTTGTCACGTTTCTTGAGCTGAGACCCGTAAGGGTCAGAGTATTAGCTGTCACGCCCTGTGTAGATCCACACAGTATTCCTTCTGCTTCAGGTTATTGCCAGACATTTAGAAATCAAAAATCCTCCATTAAACCTAGAGGCTTTGCCATTTCTTGGCCTTTTGGCAAGAGCAAGTGTCATGTCTGTTCTTACTGGTTTAGAGCCTTGTTGGTCCTCTGTCTAAGGATAACAATAAAATAGCGACTTCCACACAGAGAAGCCAATAGAGAAATGGAACGGTCTGAGATCTAACTGCAGGGCCAGTTCCATTGCATCGTGATGGGCCTGAGTGGTTTCTGCCTTGTACCACAATGCATCTCTCTAGCCTGGTTTCCCCAGGCCCAGGCAGGCCTTGAACTTGGAACAGGTTGTGAGGAACTGGCCTTGGTACTCAGAGGCTGTGAGCTCTGAGGAGTGTGAGCACCACCTTTGAGGATTTTGTTGTCTGTTGTCTACAAATCGGAGTGTCCCAATGACGCATGGCTGAGGAAAACAGTGTAAGGAGCGGCTTATCCTCTGGAGAGGCCTCTCAAGCTAGGCGTGACAGGTTCAGAGAGGATAGAAGAGGTTACCCATGTAGGTTTAGGTGGGACTGCACTTGGCAGGAGAAGAGCCAGCTCGGGAGGAACAGTAAATGCTAAACAGCGACTTACAGGGCAGTGGGAGCTACAGATGGTTCTTGAGCTCCGAAAGGGATGTGGGGGAGACAGCTGTGTAATTAGAAGGATGACAGAGAAGGTGGTGAAGGTCTCAGGGCTGCGGGCCTCTCCTGGACACCTGTCACATCTCTTGCAGCTGATCCGTCCTATCAATGCCCTGGATGAGCTCTATCGTCTCATGAAGTCCTTCGTGCACCCCAAAGCTGGTGCTGCTGGGAGCCTGGGTGCCGGTCTCATCCCCATCTCCTCTGAGCTCTGTTACCGCCTAGGGGCATGCCAGATCACCATGTGCGGCACCGGCATGCAGCGGTGAGCCTGCGCCAAGGCCAGATGGGACGTAGGGGGGCTGGGTAGGCTCTGGGTGTTTAGGGGCTCACGCACAGAAGTGGGAAGGTTGGGTTCAAATCCGGGAGCTGCAGTGCCCATGTTCTGGGCCCCAGCTTACCTGCTGGTGAACTGTAGTTGCCAAGGTCAGTGAGCCTGGGAGGTCAGTGCACCCTTCTGGTTCTAGCTCATTCAGAAGGGAGACACCGTGAGCTGTTCATCTTGTCATTGTCCACCCAGGGGAACTGCTGCTTCCTTATAACTGTCAAGCCAGTGTGAAGTGATCCCAGAGTTCCCACCTGGGGGTGATTTTGCTCTTTTGGGGATACCCAGCCATGCCTAGAGACTTTTGTGGTCTTTCTGGGGAGGGAGGGAGGGGGGATAAACAGCAAGTGGAGACTAGAGAAACTCCTGAGTGCCTTCCAGTGCAGGGGATGACACACCATCTCAGAGATGGCCTGGTGTGTTACAGTTAGGGAAACTGAGGTACAGGGCACAGGGAGACAGGATAGAGGAGTAGATTAAGAATCCAAAAGGTCTGTCTCCTAGCCTGGTCTCAGGAGCAGACTTAAGGCACACACTTCTGTCCCCTCTCTGACCCCCTAAGAGAGCCTCCAAAGACCATCCCTCATCCAGGTGTTTGCAACCATATCCTCTGCCTGGGGATATGGGTTCTTGCAGAAAGCTCCAGAAAGTCCCTGGTTCATGGTACTGCCTTAGGGGGTGTGGGTATCATGCACTGAGGGGATGGAAGGTGATGGTTACAGGAGGACTGAGTGGAGGATCCAGGAACCTTCCTGAGAGGCAGCGGACACCTGGGGATAGTAGGAAGAAGGGAGCCAGTGATGGGCAGGAAGTGGTGGACAGGAAGTGGTCCTTATCGTCCCTCTTCCTTCATCCACTGCAGGAGCACCCTGAGTGTGTCCCTGGAACAGGCAGCCATCCTGGCACGAAGTCACGGGCTGCTGCCCAAGTGTGTCATGCAGGCCACAGACATCATGCGCAAGCAGGTAAGGACACCCACAGTGGCCAGGGATCCTGATCAACCCTGTGGGATGTGGTTCATCTTGGGCCTGGTCTTCCATGGCCCCAGATACCTTGCTCAGTCTCGGCTGTTCACATGTCTTACCCCACCCAGCTACCTGTTTCCCCCTCTGCCCTGAGCTCCACAGGGCCCAGGCCTGACAGCAGTTTTCCTTCTAGGGTCCCCGAGTGGAGATTTTGGCCAAAAACCTTCGAATCAAGGACCCCATGCCCCAAGGTGCACCACGGTGAGTGACCACCCATCCCCTCCAGCTCCCATCATCATCCCAGGAACGCCAAGGCCTGCTTGGCATAAGACTCTGGGTCTCACCCCAAACAGAGCCCCAGTGTTCCTTGAGGCCACCTCTCGCTATGGTAACTCGAAAGGCCTCAACCATTGCTTAACCTGCTACCCAGCGTCTGAGCAGCTGCTAGGCTCCCTCCCCCGTCCCTCATGGTGACTCTGCCAGTCCTGTGGCAACAGTCTCCTGTCATCTTCAGCAGCCGGCTCCCCTCGCGGGGTCATGCATGACTCTGCTACCAGTGGCTGCCCAGGAGTTCTGAATAACTCTTTGTTGAGAAATAGTGGCATCAGGCAGTGTCTCTTGAAGTGACAGAGCCCCCGCAGAACCCCAGCGTGTCCCTGGCCAGTGCCTGGCTGTGCTGTTACCACTCCCCTGAAGCCTGTTCACCTCCCTTGTCTGCCATGTTTTCCTGTTTCAATTCATCTTCATGCTCTTATAGCGCCTGGCCTGTTCAGGAATGGTACCACCCACCCTCTTATGAACCCAGTTGACCCTGCAGCAGCCCTGCAGGCAAGGTCCTGCTGAGATCCCGTCAGCAGGCGAGCACACAGAGGCCCAGAGATGTTCAGCGTCTTGTTGGAGGTCACACAGCTAGTAGCGGACAGAGCTGGAATGCTGACCCAGGACAGTCTAGGCCTAGACCTTTAACCCTCACCCCTGTGCCATTGCTCACTCCAGTTCACCACGGTGACCTCCTGTCTGGTCTCCTACCCTGAAGTCATCCCTCTGCATGGCTGCCTCTCCTCGGAGCCCAGCACACTCCTTCACGGAAGGCTTACATACATCAGTGTCGTCCCGCCCCCCTGCAGCCCTTCCCAAACCAAGGCGCCATCCTGGCTACAAGCAGACAGATAAAAACTCTGTGAGATGGGAGGAACTTAGAGCTATTGTCCGGTGTCTGTCCCTATAAGCATCCAAATGCACATGCCATTTGGAAATGCCTTGCCTGCCTCTAGAGCAGTGGTTCTCAACCTTCCTAATGCTGCACCCTCATGTTGTGGTGACCCCCAACTGTAAATTATCTTCATTGATGCTTCATAACTATGATTTTGTTACTATTCCAAATCATAATATAAATGTCTGATATGCGACCCCAAAGGGGGTCACGATCCCCAGGCTGGGAACCACTGCTCTAGAGGGACAGGATCTGCCTTTGAGAAGGCAGCTTCAGTACTTCTCACTCTCTCTATCTTTCTGGGCGCGAATTATTTATTCTGATAGATAAAAGGGGAAGTTGATATTTGTGGCGGCCACTCGGCCCCTGCTCATGCTCTCTGCCTTCACTTGCCAGCCTCTACCGCCTCTGCCAGCCTCCAGTGGATGGAGACCTCTGAACACCGACATGCCCCCTGCTAGACCACTGCCTCTGCAGCTGCGATGTGGGAGGACACGGAGGGACCACAAGGTGTCCTGAGGCTTCTGCAACAGCTGTGTCGAGATCTACCCAGCGGACCTTGCTGTCACCGTCCAGGACAAGTCTCTCCAGACTGGCTGATCACCCCTGGGCTGGCAGATTCTCTATACTTCTGCCTAAGGCCTGAGGGCTGCTAGGGCCCCCAGAGCTCATGAATGTAGCTGGGGCCTGGATGCCTGCTCTCACCCAAGTCCTCTACACAAGGAAAAGTCATAGGGTCCGGTAGCTGGAGGCCTGCAGACCCAGCTCCTCAGATGGCAAAGCTGCACTTTGAGCCCGGGATTCCTCCCGGGTCCACATTCCTGGAGACCGTGCCTGTTTCCTGTCCTGGCTGAAGCTTCCGCATATGCCCCCGGCCCCTTACTAACCAGCTCAGCAAACTCGGGACAGCCAGGCCTCTACCAGGAGAGGACACTGGGCTGAGCAGCCATCACCTCGTGGACACTTGAGAGCCTTGCTGGCTTTCAACATGACCCACCGCCATCGGAATTTGAGCTGCCAGCTCTGGGCACCAGATTGGCTCTGATGTTAATTTATATGGCGCAACATCTCTGTGGTTGATATTTTGTATTTCTTTCTTATTGTTATTGTTAGTGTTGCCAAAAGTTTCTCTTTCCTAAGTTTTCTCATTATGTCTTTGACACTTTAAATTTCAGAGAAAAGTATATTGCCTAATGGGACCAACATAAAGTAGTATCAGCAACTTTATTCAGTTCTACTAAAAAAAAAAAACAAAAAACAAAAAGCAGAAGGAACTAAATTATTGGAAAAGTTTAAGAGGTCATTATTTCCATTTTAAAACCTTAAGGTTGTGAGGTGTGGTTCACAGGGTCTGCTGCCTCTCCCCCTGCCTCCGTACCCCAGCATCTGGCCCATTGGACTCTGTTGTTGAATGACTGGATCAGGGTTGAGAGGTGGCCAGACCTGGTTGTGGCTTAGGGCTGGACTGTGTGTCATTTGTTTTCATGTTGCTGTCTCAGAGCAGGGCATTATGGGACTTCTTGGAGAATAAGAGTTAGGAACCTATTGTCTACCTTCTGGGTAGGGGGCTCCACCTGACCACCCCTTGGCTCTTTGTCTGCTCTCCGACTTCTAAACATCCAGAGGGATATTGGTAGCATGGCGGAGGGCGTCGGGGATCCTGTCACCCCTGCCTGGCTGTAAGGCTGGGTTGGGGGAGTATGGTCTCCTCGGTTCCCAGGGGCCACCTTTCTCTTGCTATGAGGTCAACTTTTGTTGATATGTTTTGTTTGTCCAGAGATTCGGGGCCCCGTGTTACCCCTGTTGAGGGGACAGGGACGGGTTCCCAGGGCCGGGGCATCAAGCCTGGCTTATCTTAAATGTACAGATTCTATTCGTTAAATTCATGATAGATTTTTTTATTATTATTAAAAGTCAGTATATAATACAAATAAGGTGTGGTCTGCCTGTGTGGTGGTCAGTGGCATGGGATGGGTTCCAGCTCAGACAACTAACTGAAGACAATTAGATTCTGGAGGTCAGTGGCCCTGAGCCAACAAGGGGAACACTGTGCCCCAGGTCCCTCCTAAGGAACGAAGGTAGCTCCGTGCAGCAAATGATGGGTTTTATATTGAATTCCAACCTTCCTTTTGATTCTAAGCTTTTAAATTCATTGTTGACAGGAGAGAAATGTGATTGGCATTTTTCTAGAAGTTTCCTTCCCTGTCCTGGGAATTTTCATGAGTCAGAGCAAGTCCACAGAGTACCAAAGAACTATTTTCTGTCCCATTGTCTGAGACATTGGATCTGAGCAAAAGTTTAACACCCTCACTTACGGCCTGGAGAGACAGCCCAGCAACAAGAACACTGCTCTTCCAGAGGAGCCACACGACAGCTCACAACCATCTGTAGCTCCAGTTCCAGGCAATCCGACACCCTCTTCTGGCCTCTGTGGACACCAGACACACGTGGTACACAGATGTACATTGCAGACAAGACACTCATGCACATAAATCTTTTTTTAAAAAAAAATTGAGACAGTTGGAATCCAAGTTAGCCACAAACATGCCAATCAGAACAGAGTCCACATAAGCCATCCAGAACATCATTTCTGCACACAGACCTGGGCCCCAGGTGGGTCCCACGCTGTTCGTGGATGTTTTATCTCCTTAGGCCGAAGAGGTCTTCACGAGTTGCCATGTTTTGTAGGCCCAACCAAGCCAGTCACTTCTTGAACTGAATTTAGCCTCAGGTCTTGACCAGCCCTGGATGCCCCCTTCCCCTTTTTTCTTTTTCGTCCCTCTTCCTTCTCTTCTATTCACCTCCCTTTCCTCACACTGGGGAAAGTGTTTTCCGCTGTCTGTTTCTCACTTAAGGTCCCTCGTGGTCTCCACCTGTCCCTGGTCTACTCTGGAGACTGCTGGGTCCTGCTGAGAGGTGACCTTGCTTTTCAGTTCCAGTTTCAAATGACCCCATGCTGTTGAACTCTCTGAAGGCTTCTGCAAGGGTTGCAGGCCATGGGATAGCATCTTCTGGACCGTCTGAAGCCAGCACCTGGGTTTCAGGAAAGTTACTAAGAGCTGTCACTTGTGTGCAGTTGGAGTTGCCAGGGAGTCTGATGTGTACCCAGGAACCCAGCCTGGGGATCTGCAGACAGAAGGTCCCCAGAAGTGAGACGAGACCAGAAGCAGAGCGTCTGTGACTCTAAGCCCGTCACGTTCATTTCTGTGTCTGGTGGGAAGAGCCGGGAATATCAGTTGCACAGCTGACATGACTGGGTGCAGCAGCGGTCTGGGATTTGGTCTGGTGGGGCTGTCATCAGGCTGGGGGGCCTGTCTTGTGACTTGTAAGGTCAACTCTCTCACCTGGCCCTCTGACCTTTCAGCCACTATGCTTACCGGGAGGGATGTCACCACCTCTCTCAGATTTTTGTTTTTTATTTTTATTTTTTTAAGGCAGTGGACTTAAGTTAATTTTAATGCCCTCAGGACAGTAACTCAGGACTGGCCCTGAAGTAACTTTCTGAAGGCCTGTAGAGCCCTGCCTGTCCAGCAGGGGGCACCAGGGACCGTGCAATGCCCAGAGGTTGCGGTTGCCTGGTGAAGGTCTTTCCTAGGGACACAGAGCCTGACCCTGGACGCCCACACTGGGCACAGCGCCTGCCTGAAGGTGCGGGTGTAGCTGATGTTTGGACAAGGAGACCTGCTACCTGGCTAACTTCATAGAAACATTTTTTTTCACTAGTTTCTCTCTCTCTCTCTCTCTCTCTCTCCTTTTCTGGTTTTCTTTGTCCTGGGTGTGTGTGGGGGGGTCTTTGATACGATTCTGTTTTCCTGTTCTTTTCTTCTCTCCTTGCCTTTCGTCTTTCTTCCATTTGTATCTATGAGAACAGAAAGACCTTTGTACACTATAGAGGTGCTTGTGAGGGATACAGCTAACCCATGTTTACTGTCTTTCTCAACCGCCCCCTCCCGAACTCAGAACTGTGGCCACCAGGTGGCGGTGTGGGCCAGGCTGTCTTCAGAGGAGTTCCCAGACAGCTCCAGCGTTAGAGGCAGGCATTGGGGTAGTGGTGGGGGAGTGTTCAGGAGTGACTTGAAGGTAGAGATTCCCCATGTGGCATGTGACTCAGTATGTCCCTGCCTCTCTCTGCTCTTGTCCTCCACCTGTGCAGAGAGACCCAGCCAGTCCCTCAGAGGGAATTTCTCACTCTCTAGTCAGCCCACCTGGCCCAGTTTCTTTGAAAGACCAGTTGTGACATTCGGAACCATACAGAGACACTGTGTCAGGCCTGCTGCTCAGTGGCTTGAAGGACACCTGCCACTCCTGGGAAGCCCCACCCTACAGAGGAGAAAAATGGGCTCAGCTGGTTTAAGGAACAGATGGTCACGTGAGCTCAAATGGCACGTTCATAATAAGTACCTGTGTGCTCCAAGTCAGAGGGCATTGCCTACGGCAGGTGGGATGCACCCACGCCGCTGTCTTCCAGGTGTGCTCTGGGGGACTCTGACTTTAGTTCTTGAGCCAGAACCAGTGGACAGGAAAGTGGGGGAAGAAAGAATTGAGTGGGTCTCTTTGCAAAAGAAAGTGTCTTTGTTGCTGGGTGTGCTGGCGCATGCCTTTAATCCCAACTCTTAGGAGGCAGAGGCAGGCGGATATCTAAATTTGAGGCCAGCCTGGTCTACGGAATGAGTTCTAGGACAGCCATCACCGCTGCTCCTGCTCCAGCTCTTCCGTCCCCTGCAGCTGAGGCCCGGGAAGATGATGAAGACCCCAAGGGGACCCTCTATTCCCAGTGAGCAGATGAGATAGATCCAGGGTCCTGCTGGGGCCGAGGAACCACTGAATGTGAGCTTTAGCTGAACACTACTGAGCATGGCACCCGTTGGGGGGACATCCCCCTCAACAAATGCTTATGATTCTTCCAGAGGAGCCCCGTTGGGAGGAAGACGGGCACAGTGACAGGACTCAGCCCAGGCCTACATGGTTAAGAAGCCTCGGAATTGAGAGCTGAGTCCCTGGTATCTGGATCCAGAGCCTTGATCCTATCCCAGGTCTGCCAAGCAGAGCAGACTGAACAGTACACGGTGACCCAGGACACCTCATATTTAAACCTGAAGCAGTGCAGAGCCCAGCTGTGGAGACTAAAGGGAGGGGCAACAGAGGACTGACCTCTGTCTGAAGCCCATGAGCTCCACATTGAACTTCCAGGCCCAGGTTTCGGGCCAGCTGCTTGACTTCTGTGGGCCTCGGTTCTCCCTGCAGTGCTCTCCTTTGGGGCTGGTGCAGGCTGGAGGAGGAGTCACGTTACAGGCACGGCTAGGGTGACTGCTGTGGGGATGCTGTGACTGATGGTCCTTCATCAGGGCTGGAGGTGCATCCTGTTGCTCCAGGGATCGGTCAGAGGTGACTCACGTGGGAGAAGGAGGCCCCTGTGGGCAGGCCTGGCCCTGGGAAGGTCTTCCAGGTATTTATAAGTAGACCGATTATCTGCTCCTCCCCGGAGCCCCCAGGAAAGCACAGCAAAGCCGCTGACCCTGGTGGAGGTGGATCCGTGGGTTTGCTTCCCCTAGGGTCTGCTGCACTTAGGCCAAAGATAGAGTATGGAGGAGGTCAGGCTGAGAACACAGGAGCTGGAACATCCTGGACCACAAAGAACCAGGGTCAGAGGGTATCACCTTCCCTCAGCACGGGCACTCAGGATCACAGTCATGGCATGCTGCTACCCTCCCTATGTGGCACCCTCATGCTGAATGTGATGACCTGGGTTTGAGACTGACATGAAGTAGAAGGCCCTGGGTTCAAATTCCACCCTTGATCTTGACTGGCTGCATGGAAGGCAAGGAGTTGGCCAACTGAGAAAGGAGGTGGAGTCTGAGAGGAGCTCTGACTTTCAGCAGGCCGAGACCCAGTCGAGGACTGACAGTGTCACAGGTTCAACATGCTTCTGCCACAGTTGGCTTCTGCTCTGTCATGCCCAGGGTGACAGCTGGTTTCTGCTCTCTCATGCCCAGGGTGGCACGCAGAGGCTGGTTACTGCTCTATCATGCACAGGGTGACACATGGCAACTGGGTTTTGCTCTATCATGCACAGGGTGGCACTGGTCACTTTGCCCTCCTTTCTAGAGCATGGGATCCCCAGGACAGCTTGGGAGCCCCATGCCTTCCAGATGCTTCTTCCAGATCTCCTGAGCCAGGGTAGACATCAAGGGCCTTTCCGTTGAGAGAAGAAGAGAAAACTGGTCTCTCGTGACTAGCAGAAATTGTGCTCTGTCTGTACAGCAACTCCAGAAGATTCTGTCTGCTGCAGGAAGAGGGGAGCTCTTGCTCATCGCGGCAGTTAGTGAATAATGGCTTCAGTGGGGATGTGTGTGTGCTCATGTGTGTGCACATGTACACTCATGGCTGCATCCTGGGCATCTGTGCATGTTCCTGTCTGCACTGCCTTCACAGCTCACTCCAGCTCCTCAGTAAAACCTTGGCCCTCGGAGGTGTGGGGTTTCTGATTCTGGATGTGGTATGACTGCTGCCTCAAGCTCCCGCCATCCTGATGTCCCCACAGTGATGGAGAGGATCCCCTGGGATTGTGAGCTGACATAAACCCTCTCTCCCCTAAGTTACTTACAGGCAGGACATTTGATCAGAACAACAGAAAAATGAAGCTCGAACAAAGGTCAACTCCACCAGGGCCAGAACAAAGCAGTGTCCAGCCCACTGAGGGGATGAATGATGGGTGGGGAGATGACCCAGCTGGCCATACAAGCACAAGGACTCCATGTGAACCCCCAGCACCGCTGTAGAAACAACAACAGCAAAAAGATGACCCCCCCCCAAAAAAAACAAACAATACAAAACAAGCCACATGTGTTTTAGCCAGAGAAGACTGGTGGATCCCCTCAACTTACTGGTCCCAGCCTGACTGAACTGATGAGCTCCAGGTTCAGCGACCTAG